AAAAAAAAAAGGGGGGGGGGGATGGGAAATGCAAAAATGTGAATCGATATGCTAGTTCTGGACAATTATCTTGCAAATTCTGCCAGGTAATGAAAGTGAGAAACCTGGAGCTTTCTTCGTTTGGGAAAATAAAACCAGCTTTGCGCAGTGGCAGTATTGTAGCCAATGAGGCTTATCCGAGGCATGATTATTGCTAATTGAAAACTTCCCAATACCTCACCATGGCAGTTTGAAATATAGTCCGTATTGGCAATTTTTGACAGTCTCTACAAAGACTGAATTAAAAAATAAAAAATAAAAAAAATAATAAAAAAGAAAATAAAACCAAGCAACTTCATAGACCCCCAAAGGGGAATTCAATGTTGGCAAGTAACATTTTAGGTGGAAATTATTTACCACACCACACTTGTGGGAACTGCCATCCTCATTCCAATATTTGCAACAGGGTTATACACGGTAGCACCCTCTAACGAAAATATTGGACAGAGTATTGCTGTCGTATTATGATTAATTGTTATCCTTATAACTGGGATAATAATTACTCACAAAAAGGAAGCATAAAAGTTTTACTATCACCAAGTCTGCTAGGACTTTTTATTGGGTGCACTTTAAATGAAATGCGCTTTAAAATGAAACATGCTGCCTTTGGATTAACAGCTAGTAAAGTAAAAGGAAATCTACAGGTACTTAAAAATCAAATCAGGCCGGGCACAGTGGCTAACACCTGTAAATCCCAGCACTTTGGGAGGCTGAGGCAGGCAGATCACGAGATCAGGAGATCAAGACCATCCCAGCTACTCGGGAGGTTGAGGCAGGAGAATCACTTGAACCCAGGAGGTGGAGGTTGCAGTGAGCTGACACTGCGCTATTGCACTTTAGCCTGATGATAGAGCAAGACTCTGTCTCAAAAAAAAAAAAAAAAGAAAGAAAGAAAACTTATATGGCCAGGCACAGTGGCTCACACCTATAATCCTAACAATTTAGGAGGCTGAGGCAGGAGGATTGCTTGAGCCCCGGAGTTCAAGACCAGCTTGAGATACAATGTAAGACTCCATCTCTACAAAAAAATCAAATAATGAGCTGGGCATGGTGGCACGTGCCTGTAGTCTCATTTACTCGGGTGGCTGAGGTGAGAGGATTGCTTGAGCCTGGGAGGTTGAGGCTGCAGTGAGCTGTAATTGAGCCACTGCACTCCAGCCTGGGTGACAGAGTGAGACTCTGTCTCAAAAAAATGAAAACAAGAAAACTCATGGCTGCTTTGGAAAGCAGTTTGGAAGTTCCCCAAAAAGCTAAATGCAGTGTTATAGCTCTTTTATAATTTGTCTAGCAGGCTTTTTGGTTTTTGCTGGAAATCCCCCAAGTAAAAAAACAAAAGAAAACATCGAAAGCTAAATGTAGAGTTACTATGTCTTAGCAATTCCACTCATAGATGTATACCCAAAAGAACTGAAAACAGGGGCTAGGGGAGGGGTAGGATGAGGAGAAATACCTAATGTAGATGACAGGTTGATGGGTGCAGCAAACCACCATGCCATGTGGATACCTATGTAACAAACCTGCATGTTCTGCACGTGTATCCTAGAAATTAAAGTATTAAAAAAAAAAATCCCCTCCCCAAAAAAGGAATTGAAAACATATGTCTACACAAAAACTTGTATGGGAATGTTCACAGCATTGTTCATAATAGACAAAAAATGGAAAAAATCCGACTGTCTAACAGCTGTCTAATGGATAAACAAAATATGGAATATTCATATATGGAATATTTTTGTGCCCAATTGCAGTGGCTCATGCCTGTAATCCCAGCATTTGGGAGGCTGAGGCAGGCAAATCTCTTGAGCCCAGAAGTTCAAGAACAGCCCGGGCAACATGATAAAACCACATCTCTACAAAAAATACAAAAGTTAGCTAGGTGTGGTGTCATGCACCTATAATGCCAGCTACTTGGGAGGCCGAGGTGGGAGGTTTGTTTCAGCCTGAAGATGAAGGTTGCAGTGAGCCAAGACACTGCACTCCAGCCTGGGTGACAGAGTGAGGGCCTGTCTCAAACAAAAAAAGGAGAGTATTATCTAGCTATACAGCGACGTACTGACCCATATCCAACATGGATGAACCTTGCAAACATGTTGAGCAAAAGAAGCCAGTCACAGAAGGCCACATAATGTATGATTTCACTTATATGAAATGTCCTAAATATGCTAACTATAGAGACAGAAAGTAGATTGGTGAATGCATAGCATTGGGAGAGGGTGGGGCCATGAAGGCAGGGAGTGATATTAAATGGGCATGTGGTTTCTTTTTGGGATGATGACATGTTCTAAAATTATATTGTGGTGATTGATGGTCGCAAAACTGTATATACTAAAAACCACTGAATTGTACTTTTTTGAGAATGAGTCTCTCTGTTGCCCAGGCTGGAGTGCAGTGGCACGATCTCAGGTCACTGCAACCTCTGCCTCCCAGGTTCAAGCGATTCTCCTGCTTCAGCCTCCTGAGTAGTTGGGATCACAGGCGCGTGCCACCACACCTGGCTAATTTTGTATTTTTAGTAGAAATGAGGTTTCGCCATGTTGGCCAGGCTGGTCTTGAAGTCTTGACCTCAAGTGACCTGCCCACCTTGGCCTCAAAGTGCTGGGATTACAGGCGTGAGCCACTATGTGCCCGGCCTGAATTGCACATTTTAATGGGTGAATTTTGTGTTATGTGGATTTTTTTTTTTTTTTTTTTTTTGAGACAGAGTCTCTATCGCCAGGCTGGAGTGCAGTGGCGCGATCCCGGCTCACTGCAACTTCCTTCCATTTTCCAGTTTCAAGCAATTCTCCTGCCTCAGCCTCCCAAGTAGCTGGGACTACAGGCATTCGCCACCATGTCCGGCTAATTTTTTTTGCGTGTGTATTTTTAGTAGAGATGGGGTTTCATCATGTTGGCCAAGATGGTCTTGATCTCTTGACCTCGTGATCTGCCCACCTCAGCCTCCCAGTGCTGGGATTACAGGCGTGAGCCACTGTGCCTGGCCTGTTATGTGAATTTTATCTCAATAAAGCTGTCTATAAAACATACAGAGGCATGATCAGAGCTCACTGTAGCCTCGACTTCCCGGGCTGAAGCAATCCTCCCCCCTCAGTCTCCCAAGTATCTGGGAATACAGGCTTGCACCACCATGCCAGGCCCTCACTGCTCCTTGGTCAGGCCCACCCAGCTGCATAAGGCAACTGTCTGCCTGTCCTCATAGCCTGCCCACCTCCTGGGAGCTCACGTTCTCAGCTCTCTTTGCACACCCCTCTGCCACCAATTCCCTCCTCTTGGTGCTGGTTATCTTCTGCCAGTGGTTAGGAGTGAAACAGTTTGGCAAAGTAGATTGCAAAAGGACTAACGTCCAGTTTGTGGTCTATTTTTTAACTCTTGGGAAGAAATCTATTTAGAAGTGGTGTTGGCCTGGCATAGTGGCTCATGCCTATAAATCACAACATTTTGGGAGGCTGAGGCAGGAGGATCACTTGAGCCCAGGAGTTGGAGACCAGCCTGGGCACATAGCCAGACCCTGTCTCTACAGAAAATTTTAAACAATTATATGGGTCAGGCATGGTGGCTCATACCTGTAATCCCAGCACTTTGGGAGGCCAAGGCGGGTGGATCACTTGAGGTCAGGGGTTCGAGACCAGCCTGGCCAATATGGTAAAACCCCATCTCTACTAAAAATACAAAAATTAGCCAGGCGTGGTGGCGGGTGCCTGTGATCCCAGGTACTCAGGAGGCTGATGCATGAGAATCTCTTGAACCCAGGAGGTGGAGGTTGCAGTGAGCCGAGATCACACCACTGCACTCCAGCCTGGCTGACAGAGTGAGACTCAGTCTCGAAAAATAAATAAATACATACATAAATAAAAATTTAAAAATTATCGAGGCATGGTGGCGTTTGCTTATATAGTCCCAGCTACTCAGTGGCTGAAGTGGAAGGATCTCTTGAGCCCAGAAGTTCAAGGCTACAGTGAGCAGTGATGGCGCCGCTGCACTCCAGCCTGGACGACAGAGGGAGACTGTCTCTAAAAGTCAAAAAGCATTGTCATGCACCTTAGGCCAATGTAGGAACAATCTGGAGCAGGGTGATATACCTGCTGTGTGGCACAGGGTAGGTTGGCCTGTCTGAGCCTGTGAGGTAGACAGTTGCCTAGCCGCTTGGATCAGTTTCTGCTGAACAACTCATCATCTGGAGGGGGCTGGATCTGTGCTGAGCTCTGTGGGTATTAACTCATCAATCCTCACAACAAACTTCGAAGGTCAGTAATATTATCACCCCATTTGACAGATGGGAAATCGAGGCACAGAAAGGTTAACTAACTTGTTCAAGGTCACTGATGGCAAGTGTGGACTTCAAACGGGATGGGCTGACTCCAGAGTCCACGTTCTTTATCTGTTTGTTCTACTGCTCCTGGCACACTAACCATAAGTTTATCAGTAACACTAACAGGAAGGAGAGGCTGCTGTTAACGCCTCTGTGCTGTTAACAGCTCTGTTAACAGCAAAACAACAAGATCATGTTTTTTGCAGGGACATGGATGGAGCTGGAGGCTCCTTATCCTCAGCAAACTAACGCAGGAACAGAAAACCAAATACTGCAAGTTCTTACTTATAAACGGGAGCTAAATGATGAAAACACATGGATACATAGAGGGGAACACACACTGGGGCCTATTGGAGGGGGGAACCTCTCTGCAAGGAGGCTCAGTGATCCTGAGTCACCATCCAGCGTTACACACAGCCAATTAGAGCAGAGCTTGTGCTTGTGATCAGTCCAGTTTCAAGTGTCCTGTTTCTACCACCAGCATTTGGCCCGAGCCTAGTGTTTATGGACCACTGGTGTTAGTTCCCACCTCTTTCAAAGGCTCCACCTGGGGGCAGGGCTTTGAAGGAGTAAGACCACCCCCACCATGCACACACGCACACAGAGGGTTTTCACGTTTGTTTCTTCAGCTTCTTCCCTGGACCACCTAAGGCTGCCCAGTTATCCCCGCTCTCTTTCTCCTTTTCTACCCCCAAAGAGAGCTAGTCTGGGATCCAGGAAAAAGCAAATTTACAAATGAACCGCTTGCTGGTTATTTTTAAAACTACATGTTATGCAAACACCTTTGAGGCCAGGCGTCCACCTCCATTTCCTCTCTATAATTAATCATAGCATCAGAAACTTGATACTGCATTTTTTTTTCTCTTTTTTTTTGTTTTTTGAGATGGAGTCTTGCTCTGTCTCCCAGGCTGGAGTGCAGTGGTGCGATCTCAG